ATAAGTAGGAAGCAATTACTGCCCCCCAAATCTGGGTCTACTTTCACTGTAACATAGTCGCACAATGAAGAGCTGGGCAATGACTAAATACAATGATGTAATAACTGGTATTTTTACTGCTCCAATGAAAATAAAAAGAACACAAATGAAAATAATGCATTCCCATTACTAATGGTGGTACTTTCAGCAGTAATTCTCATCTGAACACCCCCTACAGAAGGTATATCAGAATCTGGGGCAGGGGTCACATGTGCTGAGGACAACCACTGACCAGGTGCTGTGCCAAGCAGATTTTGCATGCATGGCCCACATAACTCACTCTTCATTGGCGTAACAAGGCCTCCGTATCCCAGGGGAAGAGGTGAGACCAACCCTCTGACAGTCTCACACCACATTGATATTTTTAAACATGTGTGCTACTGGATATCATGACCCAGAAAGAAGTTCGGCCACAGCCGGGTACGGTGGCTCAGCCAGTAATCCTGCGCCTTGGGAGGCTGAGGTGAGTGGATTACCTGAGACTGCGGGTTCGAGACCCGCCCGGGCAACTTGGTGAGACCTCATCTCTACAATAAATCAAAACATTAGCCGGGCGTGGTAGCGCATGTCTGTAATTCCGGCCTCTCGGAAGGCTGAGGTGGAAGGATCACTGGAGCCCAGCAGGTCAAGGCTGCGGTGGCCAGGAGCGGCCACTGCACCCCAGTCTGGGCGACGGAGTGAGACTCCAACTCAAAAAAAAAAAAAAAAAAAGTTCAGTCACAAATTAAGTAAAATATACTATAAAGACATATATATTATAGTAGGACTGTGGTTCTGTGAAATAAAAATTTTGGCCGGGCTCGGTGGCTCAGCCTGTAATCCCACGCTTTGGGAGGCCAAGGTGAGTGAATTGCCTGAGCCCACAGGTTTGAGACCTGCCTGGGCAACTTGGCAAGACCTCATCTCTACAATAACCAAAAATTAGCTGGGCGTAGTAGCACACGCCTGTAGTTTCAGCTACTTGGAAGGCTGAGGCGGAAGGATCACAAAAGTCCAGCAGGTCAAGGCTGCGGTGGCTGGGAGCGGCCACTGCACTCCAGTCTGGGCAACAGAGTGAGACTCCGATTTAAAAAAAAAAAAAAAAAAAATTATGTATACCCTCTGGAAAACTTTGGAAAGGAAGATTGTAAAACTTTAATAAGTATGTAGTAAGACAACAGAATTTTACAGTTTTGAATATCTTGATTTTCTATGAAGAACATCACCAAAGTAATTAAAAATAATTTTAAGTGCAGAGAATATTTTCATTGGCTAAAGCTTTAATTTAGTTGTGGTTTACTGTGGATGCACACAAAATATTACATTCACGGGTATACAGTAAGTCCTCAGCATTATCAATAGGTTCCTAGAAACTGATTTTTTAAAATTTAATTTAATTTTAGATGACAGGGGTATACATGCATATTCGCTACATAGACATAACGTATAGTGGTGGGGACCGGGTCTCAGGTGGCCCATTCCCCAGATAGTGAACGTTGTGTCCCACAGGTAGTTTCTGACTCCTAAGTCCCCAGCCCCTTATTGGTGTCCCCAGTGTGTTATTTCCATCTTTGTGACTGTTTAACTCCCACAGACAAGTGACAACATGTGATGCCTGGTTTTCTGTTTCTGAGTCAGTTTCCTTAGGATGATGGCCTCCAGCTCCATCCACACTGCTGCAAAGGATGTGATGTCATTCTTTTGTATGGCTGTGCAGTATTCCATGATGTATATATACCACATTTTCATCATCCACTGATCTGTTGATGGGCATGTAGACTGATTCTACATCTTTGCAACTGTGATTGTGCTGCGATGAATGTGTGGGTGCAGGTGTCTTTTTAATACAGCAACCTCTGTTCCTTTGGGTAGATAGGTAGTGGTGGCATTGCTTGATCAAAAGGCAGATCTGCTTTTAGTTCTCTGAGTAATCTCCATACACCTTCCATAAATGTTGCCCTAACAGTATGTAAGTTTTCTTTTCTCTGCATCTAAGGCAGCATCTATCTGTTTTTTGATTTTTTAATAATGGCCATTCAGACAAATATAAGGTGGCATCTCACTGTGGTTGTAACTTGCATTTCCCTGATGATGGGTCATATTGAGCACTGTTTCATTGTTTCATATTGAGCATTGTTTTTTGGCCATTTGTCTATCTTCTTTTGAAAGATGTCTATTCATGTCGTTTGCCCATTTTTTAATAGAGTTATTTGCCTTTTTCTTGATTTGTTTGAGTTCTTTGTAGATTCTGGATATTAGTCCTTTGTCATGTGTATAGTTTGCCAATATCTCCTCCCATTCTATAGGTTGTCTATTTGCTCTGTACATTATTTCTTTTGCTATGCAGAAGCTTTTTAGTTTAACTCCCACTTATTTCCTTGCTTTTGTTGCATTTGCTTTTGGGGTTTTAGCCATAAATTATTTGCTTGGGCCTATGTCCATAGGAGCTTTTTCCTAGGTTTTATTCTAGGATATTTATGGTTTCAGTTCTGATATTTAAGTCTTAATCCATCTAGAGTGAATTTTTGCATATGGTAAGAGACAGATCAAGATTAATTTCTCTAAATGTAGCCATCCAATTTTCCCAGTACCATTTGTTGAATAGGGTATCCTTTCCCCAGAGTACATTTTTGTCTGCTTTGTCAAAGATCAGTTGGTCGTAGGTATTAGGGTATATTCTGGATTTTCTATTCTGTTCCATTGGTCCACGTAATCTGCTCTTGCACCAGTACCATGCTGTTTTGGTTACTATAGTCTTGTAGTATAATTTGAAGTCAGATAATATGATGCCAGCAACTTTGTTCTTTTGTATATGATTGCTCTGGCTATTCTGGCTCTTTTTTAGTTCCATATGAATTTTAGGATTGTTTTTCCTAATTCTGTGAAAAAGGACTTTGGTAGTTCGATAGGCATTGCATTGAATCTATAGATTACTTTGGGTAATATGGTCATTTAAAAAGTGTTGATTCATCCAATCTATGAACATGAGATGTTTCTCCATTTGTTTATGTCCTTTACAATTTCTTTCTTCAGAGTTTTGTAGTTCTCCCTATGGAGATCTTTCACCTCCTTGGTTAGAAATATATTCCTAGGTATTTTAGCTTTTTGGTGGCTATTGTAAATGGAATTTAGTTCTTGATTTGATTCTCAGTTTGGTTGTTATTAGTGTATAGAAGTGCAACTGATTTGTGTTGATTTTGTATCCTGAAACTTTACCAAATTCATTTATCAAGTCCAGGAGTCTTTTGGAGGAGTCTTTTAGAAGAGTCTTTAGGGTTCTCTGGGTAAAAGATCAGGTCATTGTTATACAGAGACAGTTTGATTTCTTCTTTTCCAATGTGGATACCCTTTATTTCTTTTTCTTGCCTGATTGCTGTGGCTAGAAACTGTGATCTTAAGCAAAACAACATATAGTAGGTTCTCAAATAATGTTGTTTCCTTTAAGGTTGTTTCATTATACATCATTTTCTTAAAGTCAGTTTCCAAGAACCTATCCGTAGCGTTAGCGAGGACGACTTACCATACATATAGCCAGTATAAGAGTGAAGGGGTGGAGGAACTACCACAGAGGGCAAACCAAACTGAAAGAGCCTGACAAATTTCACCCCATCCAATAATTCCTATTCATTAAATATCATGAAGACCGGGAATTAAACACTGGGTATTTCTGCCCTCATAAGGGTATCTTCCTTATTTTTAGGCACCCTACTGTTTAAGATAAAAATCAGTCATAAATATATATGTATATGCATATGTATACTCCAAGTACAGATAATAATCACTGGTCTATGACTGGGATGGAATAAATCAGTCCTACACATGAATAAGTGCTTGTCATGTTCTTTTCATTACAGTAAGATTTCTAAGTATGCACTGCAGGGCAAATTCTCTTGGTCTGTTTCTATATCATAAGTTGATGAAAAGAGAGAGAAAATTACCACAGCCCTTCTACACAGCCTTAAGAGGTTCCTTTTTATGTTGCCTATGAAATAAACCAAGCTAACAGAATTCACCTAGTGCCGTGGCAGTTGGCCTGAAGTCACCAACAGCACCCCTGCACCATGTATGCTGGAGAGACTGTGCCAGAAAATTTAAATCATGTGAATCTGACAGAAAAGAATAAATTTCAGATTAAAGCATGAAGTAAAACCCAGGCCGGGTGCGGTAGCTCAAGCCTGTAATCCCAGCACTTTGGGAGGCCGAGGTGAGAGGATTGCCTGAGCCCACGGGTTCAAGAACAGCCTCAGCAACCTGGCAAGACCTCGTCTCTACAACAAATCAAAAAATTAGCCGGGCATGGAAGTGTGCACCTGTAGTTCCAACTTGGAAGGCTAAGGTGGAAGGATCGTCTGAGCCCAGCAGGTCAACGCTGGGGTGGCCATGAGCATGCCACCGCATTCCAGCCTGGGCAACAGAGCGAGACTCCAACTCAAAAAAAAGAAACAAAAAAAGAAACCCAAAATAAAAATGTGAATGTGTTGATATGCTACTTCTGCTCTTGCTTCTGTTGTAAGGTTATAGGAGACCTAAGTAGGGGCAACAATGTGTTGGGACTAAAAACTGAATGTAGAAAACAACACTGGAAACTGTTTACACAGTCCATGACTAATTCTTCTCATATTTGTATGCTAAAGTCATCAGCAATAAATCTCTTTAAAAGGTCTAAAACTAAATATTCAAAACCTTTTTGTCGTTGTTTATTGTTAATATCTCTAACCACAAACATCCAGACTTCTAAAAACATAACTCAATGTTAGTAAAAATTTGAGGATAGTTTATTCCTGGTCTCATAAAACCAAATTGTAGCAGCTTTAGGATCTCAAAATCGGTCACATGTTCATCAAGATTAAACTTTAAATACTCAACAGAGTCCAAGTGTGTCTCCGTGTGGGGAAAAGTTTGTATTGCTCATATCAATACACTAAGATTACTTTTTAAAAAAATGATTTAAAGAAAATATATATTGGTAAGAATCCACTCACTTTCTGTTCCGTGAAAATTTTTTCCTTGCAAAAACTTTGGCCAAAGAGTAAGTGCTGGATTGAGTTTACTGGAGAAAGATGCTGACTTTATATTCAGTCTTGAGTTGACAAGTTTACTCTCTGTGGGTGACATATAACAAGCGAAGTTCTTTGCAACAAGCTCATCATTAACACAAACCTGTAAAATTTTAAACATTTCATGGATAATAGGACAAATATAGTCAAGTGAGTTTAAACAAAATATTCCAAACACTCAGCACCAAATTTCAATCTTCAGGAAAATTATTTTATAGACTATAATTTGATAGAAACAGATTTGACTTCTGCTCTGGTAATGGTGAACTAACACTTATCACCAACTCTGCTGAGAAAAACAGCAAAGATCTGCATAAAATACATGAAACATCTTCTTGAAGGTGGTGGAGAGCTCAAACAACCTAATCAGGCAAAGATCTGGTGGGAGGACAAAGACAAAACACTAATCATAAAAGAAAAAACTGATAATTAGATGTGCTTAAAATGTTAAATTTCCTTTCTTCAAGACAGAATAAAGAGATAGGACACAATCATTAATATTTTTTTTCCTTGAGTTGGAGTCTCACATTGTTCCCCCTAATTAGGTTTCCTAAACCTTACAATAGAAGCAAGAGCAGAAGTAGTGTATCAACACATTCACATTTTTATTTTGGGTCTCTTTGTTTCTTTTTTTGAGTTGGAGTCTCGCTCTGTCGCCCAGGCTGGAGTACAGTAGCAGGCTCATGACCACTCCAGCCTCGACCTGCTGTGCTCAGGCAAACCTTCCGCCTCAGCCTTCCAAGTAGCCAGGACAACAGACACACACTACCATGCCCAGCTAATTTTTTGATTTATTGTAGTGATGAGGTCTTGCCAAGTTGCCCAGGCTGTTCTCAAACCCGTGGGCTCAGGCAATTCCCTCACCTCAGCCTCTTAAAGCGCTGGGATTACAGGCTTGAGCCACCGTGCCCAGCCCAAAATTATTTTAAAATCAAGTATCTGGACTGGGTGCAGTGGCTGGCGCCTATAATCCCAGAACTTTGGGAGGTCAATGCTGGAGGATTGTTTGAGCCCAGGAGTTTGAGATCAGCCTATGTAACATAATGAAATGAGACTTTATTTCTACAAAAAGCCAAAATATTAGCTGTGCATGATGGCACACACATGTAGTCCCAGCTACTCGGGAGGCTGAGGTGGAAGGATTGCCCAAGTCCAGGAAGTCAAAGGTACAATGAGTAATGATCATGCCACTGTACTCCAGCCTGGGTGACAGTGACACCCCATAATGAGATGCCACTGCACACCTACATGAATAACCATACAAGTGACAAAGAGGGTATGGAGGAACTGGAACTCTCATTGCTGATGGGAATGTAAAATGGTCAACCACACTGGAAAAAATTTGGCAGTTTCTTAATACCGATAGTGTCATCCAGAAGTCTGACTCCTAGAAGAAGACTTGAACATGATTTTTTTTTTTTTTTGAGTCGAAGCCTCACTCTGTTGCCCAGAATGGAGTGCAGTGGCCGCTCCCAGCCACGGCAGCCTCGACCTGCTGGGCTCCGGCGATTCTTCCGCCTCAGCCTTCCAAGTAGCTGGAACTACAGGCGCGTGCGACCACGCCCAGCTAATTTTTTGATTTATTGTAGAGATGAGGGCTCGCCAAGTTGCCCAGGCTGGACTCGAACCCGCGGGCTCAGGCAATCTGCTCACCTCGGCCTCCCAAAGCGCGGGATTGCAGGCTGAGCCACCGAGCCTGGCCATGAATATTTTTAATAGTCCTAAACTGGTCACAACTCAAATGTCCATCAGCAAGTTAATGGATATGTTCCCCACAGTATATTCATACAATGGAAGAATACTTGACAATGAAAGGAATGAACCATTGGTAAATGCAGCAACATGGATGCATCCCAAAATAATTTTGATGAATGAAAGAAGCCCAGGGTCCAGAAAAGAGAACACTATGGGGCACATTTTGTGTGCCCTTTGGAAGCTGGGAAAGGATTGTTGGTCCTAATATTCTTTTTCTGACAATTACGACCTCATATACTCATTATAAGTTCTCTCATCTAAGCATGGACTGCCCAGACTTTTGCATTTCACCACCTTAACAAAAGATCAAGTCATTATCAATATACAACCTACATGGTAAGAGAGACCTACTTATGAAAAACAAGAAATAAGTAAATAGAGAATTTATTTGTAAAAAGATGTTTTACAAGACTGTTCCTCTAGCCAACATTTTGCTATTTTTACTAAATTGTAAAATAGGCAATGAAAAGTCATAAATAAAATCAACCAGGAGGTAGGGAACCCAAAATGTAATATAAACAATAACAAATGAACCCTATTATAAAAGAATAACATAATCACACTGAAGAGCATGGGAAAGAAAAAAACAAATCTAAGTCACTTTGGAAAAAAGTATTTTGGCTGCATAATGTTAAGGCTACAGACAAATTTATTTTTCACAATAATGTGGGTAAGCAATTCTGAAATTACTTTATGTGAATACTAGAATTAATCAAGTAAGTATACTGTGGCCAATGAGAGTAAGTTTCTCACTGTTGGAGAAAGGTGTTAAAAATAAGTAGCCAGCCAGGCTCGGTGGTTCAGCCTGTAATCCCAGCGCTTTGGGAGGCTGAGGTGAGTGGATTGCCTGAGCCCGTGGGTTCGAAACCCGCCCGGGCAACTTGGTGAGACCTCATCTCTGCAATAAATCAAAAAATTAGCCAGACGTGGTAGTGCGTGCCTGTAGTTCCAGCTACTTGGAAGACTGAGGCGGAAGGATCGCCAGAGCCCAGCAGGTTGAGGCTGCAGTGGCCGGGAGCGGCCACTGCACTCTAGTCTGAGCATCAGAGTGAGACTCCAACTCAAAAAAATAAAAAATAAAAAAATAAGGAGCCAGGCATGTGGCGTGTGCCTACAGTCCCAGCTACTTGAGAGGCTGAGGCTGAGAGGATTGCTGAGTGAGCCATGACTGCGCCAATGCACTCCAGCCTGAGCAACAGAGGGAGACTTCATCTCAAAACAAACAAATAAGAAAAAGAGAGGGTTAAAATGAGCCTTAGGGTGCTGGACTTAAATTAAGGGCATTAAAGCTCTTAATGTATGTACAGATGGAAATAAATATAGATTGTGTATGTGCACAGGATAGTGTACACACATATGTTTCCTAATACTTTCTGCTGAGTGGACTATAATCAATGACACCCCAGTAGCAACAAGTGTGTCTAGTGACCTTATCTTTATATTTAAATATCATTCCTCAATAAAGGAACCCAGGTTTCTTACAGAAGTGGTTAATTCTACATCTGTGGCTGGAAAATGGCAAAATGACACATATTATGGCACCAGAAGGTAAAGTGTGTTCAAACAATCATGGGGCTCACTGAAAATATAAGTAAGTCCTGAAGCTTCTAATGGCCAAAATGCCAAGGCAATTTGAACAAGACAATAAGGATAGTAATGGATTATAACACCCAAAATAAAATATATGTCCAAAAATCCACACTAATATAAATTGTTGGATAAATTAATAAATGGGGAAGGAGGAACAGTTCTTTGCTATAGAATTCCAATTAAAATGTCAAATTGATGGAAATAGGCAAATATCAAAATAATAAGTTTTATAGGCAGGAATGTCCAGGCTAGAATGCAGTGGCCCACTGAAGCCTTGACCTCCTGGGCTCAGGCTGGCAATACTTTTTGCATTAGCTTTCTGAATAGCTGGGACTACAGGCACATACCACCATGTTTGGCTAATTTTTTTGTAGAGGCAAAGTCTCACTATGTTGCCCAGGCTGGTTTCAAAGTCCTAGGCTCAAGTAATCCTCCCATCTTGGCCTCTCAAAGTGTTGGGATTACAGGCATGAGCCACCACACACGGTCAAATTGAGTAACATTCTACAAAGTCATTGGCTAGTACTCTTCAAAAGCGCCAAGGTCATGAAAGATGAGGAAAGACAAAGGAACTGCCACAGACTAGAGGAGATTAAAGACACATGACAAACAGATACAACATGGGGTGCTGAATCGGATCTAGATCGTAAAAAGGAAATTACTGGGGAAATGGCAACATTCAAACAAGGTCTGCAGGTTTTTCATAGTATTTTATCAATGTTAATTTTCTTGTTTTAATAACTGTACTGTGGTACAAGTTCTATATGATGTTAACACCAGGACAACCTGGATAAAGCATATTCAAAATCTCTGCCCTACATCTGCTTCTTTTCTGTAAGTCTAAAATTATTCCAAGATGCAACTTAAAAAAAAAATCTGTGCTGAAGGTGCCCTGTGGGCTCTGAGCAGCCCTAATCTGCATCCTCTGTCCACCTCCATTTGTGCTGTGCTGTGGGCTGGAACTGCCTTTTAGAAAGCACAACCAGCCAGAAAACTTGCAGCTGACACAGGGCAGTGGGCTGCACACATGTGATGTCTACTTTCTTTCCATGTTTGTCATCTGAGTTCTTTACAATGAGTATATACTGTGTACACTGAGAAAATTGGGAAAACGGTAGTGAACCAACACCACAGCAAATAAATGTACTTACAAAAATTATGTCTTCTTTTAAGAAAATGACATTTTTTTTTAAGTTGGAGTCTTACTCTATCACCCAGACTGCAGTGCAGCGGCCACTCCCGGCCACTGGAGCCTCAACCTGCTAGGCTCTGGAGATCCTTCCGCCTCAGCCTTCCAAGTAGCTAGAACTACAGGCGCGTGCTACCACGCCTGACTAATTTTTGATTTATTGTAGAGATAAACTTTCGCCAGGTTGCCCGGGCGGGTCTCGAACCCGCGGGCTCAGGCAATCCACTCACCTCAGCTACCCAAAGCGCTGGGATTACAAACTGAGCCACCAAGCCCAGCTAGAAAACGACATTTCATACTCCACTGTAGGAATAGTTTCTTGCTCGTTACTAAATAAAACACTGAAGTAATTTTTAAAAAATAATCAAAAGGAAAAAACAGTCATGGCTAACTTCTAATCTAAGGCAGATCTTAGATGAAGATAATTCCTATGCTGTGTGAATATACTGTTTTCTGGGTGTTTATTCTTTGCTACAACTTTAAGTAATGAGACAAAATTTTAAAAACAATTTTTCACTTACTTTTTCATTTTTTATAGTTACATAAAGGTAAACCTCAAAAGTATCTTCTTCCACAGCACATAATTTGGCTTCCACCTGGGTAGTTACTAAACAGCATAAATGAAAACACAAATTAGCTGATATCAAAAATGTATCTGAAACAACTATGACTATTTCCCATCTGTTAATCTCTGCTTCCCAGTTCAAGAGTACCCAGGGCCAAAATGACCAGCGGCTCCCTTGGCCAGGACGTGAGGTGAGTGAGTTTGGGAAAAGGCGCTTCCGAGTGCGGGGTAGGCCACGTATCCTTGGCTCCACAAAGCACCCCTCTCTCACCCTGAAAACTCCTCCTAAGTCCACTTCTTTGTCCTGTCTTTGCTTCCAGCGAGTCCCAAACCCAATTCCTAGTCACAGTCTTTCACCTGAGGTCTGTTCTACACCTCCACATGACCCACGCATCAGAGGATTCAGCTACTCTATCAGAGACGGAATGACCCAAAAGGCATTCACTGCTAGCTACTAAGTCCTTTATAAACCTTATTTCCCTTAACTCTCACCACAACCTTCAGGGTAAGTAGAGTTGTTGTCGTTTCACAGGTAAGGGGACCATGCTCAAAGGTTATGTGACTTGACTGAGGTCACACAGAAGTAGGCCTCCTCTAGACGTGCATGCTCACCTCCCAACAGCCCCAAAAGGCTTGCAAGGGACAGTGATTCTCCCAACCTCCCACACCCCTCAGGTCAAAGCATCTGGCTTTTCCTTTACTCAGACCATGGCACAGTACAGGAAAGGGATCAGGACTCAACTAGGCACCAGATAGCACCCCAGGCACCTCACACCCACTAAAACTCTCTTGAACAGTCCAAAGAGGTAGGCACAGGTATTTGACTTTGACTGCCAGGGGTTAGGGGAGAGGGCACAAAAGAGACTGTGATTTACAGTCACTGATAAAACATAAAGTGAACACGTGGCCAGGTGTGATGGCTCATGCCTGCAATCCCAGCACATTGGGAGGCATAGGTGAGAGGACAGCCTGAGCCCAGGCATTCATGACTAGCCTGAGCAACATGGCAAGACTTCATCTCTACAATAAATAAAAAATTAGCTGAGCGTGGTGGCACGCACCTGTAGTCCCAGCTACTTGGAAGGCCAAGGCAGAAGCATCACCTGAGCCTAGCAGGTTGCGGCTGTGGTGGCCATGAGTGTGCCACTGCACTCCAGCCTGTGCGACAGAGTGAGACTCCGACACACACACACACACACACACACGAACACACTAATAGGCATTCAAGACATTTTATACATCTTAAATTAGCAGTAATGATTATTATACAATAAATATCCATTTACTCTCTCTTGCTCACTAAAAGGAAGCTAAACTTTTCATCAATTGCTTGTCCAATAAAATGCATATAAATTTATTTTGTAGCACTGCAGCTTTTATGCAAACTAGAAGGTAGGCATTATTATTGTGTAAGGGTTCCTCTACACAAATAGCCCCTTTCTGACTTCAGTTGTCAATCACTGATACCCACATTCACCAACGAAGTTCCAGGAAGACAGAGTCACTGTGACAGGTGGGGTGAAAGAGGCTCCAGATAACTTAGGGATCGCTCACAAGGAGGGTCCAGCAGGTAAGCAGGCACATCGCAAACACCCTCGCCCACATCAGTTGAGGCCACCTTGGGCACAGCTCAGAACAGGCTGCAGCTATCATGCACTGGCCTTACCTTTAAGAATATTCTGGAAGTACTGAATAGCTGCACTGTCCCACTTCCTGGCAGGTCTGAAACAGTGAACAAACGCAGCTTCGTTAAATAAAAATCCGAGGTTAGCACACTAACATCATTTTGCAAATCACACACTGGATGCTTCTTACATCACGTCCCAAACACCTGATGCAGACAGTGGGGAGCCTGGCTCTGGCCCTCCTCTAGGGTGAAGACCCCCACTGCACCCTGCAGTATGCAGACTTGCATCACAGAGGCCCCCTGAGAATGATGCGTGCCCACCACCACGGCGTCATCTGCTACATCATCATCATCCCCCGTTACCGGTAACAAGTCTGTCCCCCCACCCAGAGCACAAGCTCCCTGGGCAGCGATCCTGCACGTGCAGTGTCCAGCACAGGCTGGCACAGAGAGAGGGCCCAATGCACGCTGGCAAACCAACACGCTAAGGGGCAGGTACAGGAAAGCCAGCCATGGTCACCCCACGGCATCCCTCACTCTGCTGACTTCTGCGACCATTCACCAGCTCCTGCTCTGTCTCTACCATCTTGCCCTCTCTGTATCCCTCCTATGCCTTGGGAGAAAAATCAGAGAAACAGCTGCAGGCAGGAGAAGAGCAGGGCAAAGGCAGGCTAAATCGGTATTCAGAGTCATCCAGGAACAAAAATAAAATAAAATGTGAGGCTAGAATGATATATTTTATGTTTCTATTGGCTCTATTTATTAGCAATGCCACCCCCATCCTCTAAGAGTTGTTTTAAAGATCAAATGAGGAGACCTGCCTGGGCAACTTGGCGAGACCTCATCTCTACAATAAATCAAAAAATTAGCCGGGCGTGGTAGCATGTGCCTGTAGTTCCAGCTACTTGGAAGGCTGAGGCGGGAGGATCACCGGAGCCCCACAGGTCGAGGCTGCGGTGGCCGGGAGCAGCCACTGCACTCCAGTCTGGGCGACAGAGTGAGACTCCAACTCAAAAAAAATAAATAAATAAAGATCAAATGTACATGAAACACTTGGCCTAGTGCCATGTCCATGACTATGTCCAAGTCATTATTCAAAAATATTGGATACTTTTATTTTTGCTAAGAAATATACTAAGCAATTCTAGAGAATTACAAAGGATTTCTAAAAGGTAGCAATAAAACAGACAGTGGTTCTAAAGTCTTGCTACACACAAGTAAATTACCTAATAAGGATTTTTTTTTTGACAAAATGTAGTTGATTCCTAATAAGGAAAAGGCAAACAAAGAGAAAAATCAATCTAGTATATGAAAAGATAAATTAGTCTCTTTTATACACACACACACATACTCTCACACACTGTGAGAGAGAAAAGCTAAATGAAGAGATGCAATTCAGAAAAACACAAAACAAAATACCACTTTCACTCAGCAAACAAACAAAAGTCTACAAGCCTAACAATATTCAATACTGTGTAGGAAAAACAGTACCTTCTATATCCCAATGATAGCAGTATAAGTTGCTATAGTCTTTTTAGATGGAAATTTGACACACTCTATCAAAAATTGTAATATGCGTATTAAGAAAGGGGTTCCAGGTCATTGCCTTGCTAAGCTATGTTGTGGCCATGTGCTCTTTGAGCTGTGGCCAGGCCATGTTTTCCTAAGCTTTGGTCCCTTTCCCTACATTGGGGAGGTGAATAACCTCTTTCTCTCTCTCTAATTTACTTTCTAAATAAACTATATCTCCTAATGTAAAAAAAAAAAAAAGGGGGTTCTAGATAAAGTGCAAATGCAAAGGTATTATGTCAAAGAACGTGATCAAAGCCCAGTAAGACAACTTAACTCCTAAGTTGAGGTGCCTGCATTGGGTGTCTCCTAGGATTGGGAGTGTGGATGGGAGGGCCTCCCAAAACAAGTGAGTGCTGCATGGGCAGAGGAGGAGCGAGATGGCAGGAAACAGACTGACTCTGCGGGGAGCTGGGCTGTACAGCTGCTGCTCACATCACTCCTGGAGGACCAGCAGCAAGAGGGACAGCGAAGGGGGAACAGGCGGCTGCCCGCCAGGGACCTCGACCTTCAGGACACAAGAGTCCTTCATGTGTGCTGGCCAGACAACAACCTGATGGAGGGCAGCTCGGTGGAGTACAAGGTCCCTAGCAGAGGCAAGCTGGCTTATCTTCCCATCAGTCGAGGCCAGCCACAGAGTGATGGACTCACCACCACAGGAGGGAGGAGGTGGGCCTAGAGAAGAACGTAGGTGATGGGGGCTGGAGGGGGATGGAGAATAGGTAGGTTGCCAAAGAGCCCACAGAAGCATCCACAAGAGAGAGACAAGCCAGGCCTGGTGGCTCACGCCTATAATCCCAGCACTTAGAGAGGCTGAGGCAAGAGGAATGCCTGAACCCAGGAGTTCAAAACCAACCTGGGTAACATAGTGAGACCTCATTCCTACAATAAGTCAAAAAATTAGCCAGGTGTGGTGACGCAAGCCTGTAGTCCCAGCTACTTGGAAGGCTGAGGCAGAAGGATCTCCTAAACCCAACAGGTCAAGGCTGCTTTAGCCATGATAATGCCACTGCATTCCAGACTGGGCAACACAATGAGACTCCGACTCAAAAAGAGAGAGAGAGAGAGAAACAGGTTCAGAGTGCACAATGTAACATCACCAGGACATGCAGGGAGAGTCAGAACTGAGGTGCTCCCAATGGCTTTTCTTTCCATAATGCCACAGTTCTGGAGGGAGAGGAGAAAAAGAGCACTGGGTGGGAAGGTGGGCTGCCCCACAGACCACAGAAGAAGAAACCAAGCCACTTGGTAGTACTTATTCAAGAGATGGTGCCATACCCAGCAGTGCTGCCCAGTACAGGGATCCACCCGTGCAAACGCCAACAATGTGGTCAAGTACTGGGGGAAAGGAGCAAAGATGGGATGGATGTGTGTACTTCTCAACATCTCCATATTTTATATGGGTTTATCAGATTCTTATGGGAACATGCAGTGCCAAATGGTGTAGAACCAACTGCCTTGTTGGCTATCAAGACACGAATAATTAAATACAAGTGTGTCAATCATATCCACTCATGAAAAAGACAGAGGTAAAAAGGAGAGGTATATATGTTGGCAAAGAGCCTCCAGGGACCTTAATTCTGCAAGTAAGACAGTATTTTCTGAGTTCAATTAGAAGCTCCATGAAGATAAGGGCCAAAGGAAAGCCAGAGGTCTAGAAGTTCAGAGGCCTCCCAGGAAGGAGAATGTGAGCCTGGAGAAGAATGCAATGGACTCTTTGTTCAATACTCTGTGATTCCATGCTTTTCGAATGTTTTTCTTTACAGTTGCTGTATTACTTTGCATAAGTTAAAAACAAAAAAGGCAAAAAGCACAGAGCTCAGATCCTACTCCAACCAAGTTCCAGAGACAGGAACTATGCTGCATGACCAGGTTTGACAAACACTAACTCAGAAGCCACTTGCTGAAGAATAAGAGACTTCCTGCTTAGTGCTTCTACAGAGGAATGAACTTCACAGAAACGCCATACACTTGATCTAAGGCTTTTACTAATAATGCAAACTATTTAAAGAAGCTATACTTACACAATTTCAGCACTGTCTTCACAGAAGTCAATGTGCAGTGTGACAGGTTTTGTGCAGTACAGTCTGAATTTTTTGGCTCTATAAGGAAGGTGCATAAAAGACTCTACTGCAACTCGGATGCTTAAAAGTGAAACAGAAATAGCTCCATTATAAAGAAAATTATATATAACATATTCCTTCAAAGTATACCTACATAGTTAATATACTTAACATAAGCAAAACACACAGAAAACATTCTTTCTAATATAACTACCAACGGTGCTTGGCCAAAGGCAAAACTATTTCTTGGGAGGTTGAAAAAAATACCTTTTATGTAAAAAAGTTCAGAAATACATACAGTACAGGAAGAGACCAGAAATCCGTGGTATTAAAATGTCATGGTATAGAGCAGGAGTTTAGGGCAAAAAAGGCCAAATAAGGCTCTTTTGGCTAAGAAATACTGAGTAATATTTAGCAAACCTGTGAAGCAAATTCTATCCAAAATTCTTAAATACCAATCTCAAAATACAACCAGAATTGCCTGGAAGTTTCTATAAATGAACAGACGTTTTAATAATTTGTATTTAACAACTTTGCAGAAAAGAGCTAAAGGGCTGAAATTTACTAATAAGGACTCTAACATTTGCAAAGAACAGAGCACCACATGTTCTCACTTATAAGTGGATCCTGAACATCTACCATAATACTATAAGAAAGGGACTGGCGCCGGGCTTGGTGGCTCAGCCTGTAATCCTGCGCTTTGGGAGGCTGAGGTGAATGGATTGCCTGAGCCCGCGGGCTTGAGACCTGCCTGGGCAGGCGAGACCTCATCTCTACAATAAAATAAAAAAATTAGCCGGGCGTGGTAGCACAAGCCTGTAATTCTGGCTACTTGTAAGGCTGAGGCGGAAGGATCGCTGGAGCCCAGCAGGCGAGGCTGCGGTGGCCGGGAGCGGCCACTGCACTCCAGTCTGGGCAACAGAGTGAGACTCCAACTCAAAAAAAAAGAAAGGGAATGGCAATTCCAGAATTCCTATGATTGATGAGGGCTTGTTATTATTTTTCAGTTCCCAACACAGTGCCTGGAACAAAATAGATATTCAATAAAAATTTATTATGTAGCCGGGCTCAGTGGCTCAGCCTGTAATCCTGCACCTTTGGGAGGCTGAGGTGAATGGATTGCCTGAGCCCATGGGTTCGAGACCCACCTGGGCAGCAAAACCTCATCTCTACAACAAATCAAAAAATCAGCCGGGCATGGTAGCGCACGCCTGTAATTCCAGCTACCTGGAAGGCTGAGGCGGACGGATCGCCGAAGCCCAGCAGGTTGAGGCTGCGGTGGCCAGGAGCGGCCACTGCACTCCAGTCTGGGTGACAGAGTGAGACTCCAACTCAAAAAAAAAAAGAAAAGCTCCCCAAACAGTTAAATACAAGAGTTATTTTTATAGCAATTATGGCTGTATAAAGGTACAGAATCACAAGCTGGAAAGGCATCTATTCTTTCCTCAAGTATCTGCAAATTCCCAACATCTGATAAGCCCTTCTGCCAGGAAATTCTCCTATGCAAGAGATATCTTATTGCAGTTGAAGTCTATTTGGTGTTGACCTTTCTTTAACGAAAGATGAGTGCTCATATTTATTCATTAAGCTGACATTCTCTTACTCTGGGACAGGAAACTATGGAAAAATTTCCTCAAAACACCAAGACTGAATTGTTGCTTGTGTTTTCTAATAAAGTATGAGACATGGTCCCAGAATCAGTGAAGCCTGCACAGTCACCATCTGCTTACTGGCCCATTCTGAAGTATCTCCCCACCTCACATGATGGCTGACCCTCACTCTGTTAAGCAGGACAACCAGGAATACTTACAAGCTAATGCTCTGCTCTCTGCAACCTGAGATTGTTCCAGCAGCCTCCCACTTCTGTGGAGACAAGAAGAGTTTCTCTCTGTCTCCTGGTGGTATCTTTCTTGCAGACATGCCTCCTTAAAAGACCCACTCCATCACATAAGCAAACTGAGGACAGGTCAGGAGAGCAGCTGGCAAAGAACGCCCAAGAGACAGAGTGAATAACCTGATCCTGCCCTGCCTTTTCCAGGAAGGAAGGGCCAGAGCCACCTTCTGAGTCTCCTTGCCAACCACTTGCTCAGCCAGTGGATGCAGAACTGGAATCCGCAAGTCTTCCCTTTTTGAAGCTAAAAAACGCCAATCTCATCTTATCTCAAAAGATAATGACCTCAGCTGGGCACAGTAGCTCACGCCTGTTAATCCCAACACTTTGGGAGGCTGAGGCAGGAGAATCACTTGAGACCAGCCTGGATAACACAGCAAGACTTTGTCTCTACAAAAATTAAAAATAATTAGCTGGGTGTGATGGCATGCACCTCAAGTCCCAGCTACTTGGGGACGTTGAGGTGGAAGGATCATCTGAGCCAAGGAGGTCAAAGCTGCCATGAGCTGTGATCACTGTGATCATGACACTGCACTCTTGCCTGGACAATGGAGTCACACTTTGACTCAAACAAAAAAGATAAATGACCACTATCCCTTTATTTTAAACAAATGACATTCTCCTTTAAAACTGACATTTGTCTCTTAAAGAGGATAAGGCAAAATAAACACATACATACTTTTTAGATTTTACTGGAACGCACTTGGCAAGATCCACAAGGAAGCATTTTGCCAGGTAATAGTCTGCGGAAGACATGATTGACTTAACAACAGCCCTGCACCAGCACTTCAGCTCTTCACAATAAACCACACAAACCTACAGAATAAAAAGAAAGGTTTTTCGTTTTTGAGTTCAGGGTTAGAATCTCTTGTCGTATAATGAAAGAACTAAAAGGTACTCTCAGAATCATCTTGCCTACATTTTGCCTCACAGCAGAGGAAAGGGAAACCAGGAGGCTGGACCTGCCCAAGCCAAACACTGTCTGAAGTAAGTGAGCTTCAAGAAGAACATGGGTCACCTGGATGCTATTGCACTGTTTTTCTTACTGCAATCATTTTGACTTCTTCACTGAGGATAATTTTTAGAAAGCAAAATTAAAAAACAGAACAAAACATTGTTTTACTTTCTTAAGTCAGAAAGCACAGCTTGCAAAGGACTGTCAATCACGTATCAGACCCATAGGAAACGGCAACCCCAGGCTCCTCCTCCCTGCTCACTCCCTGACTTTATCACTTCCTAACGTGTGCGTCATAACTGGACTCCGGCTGTACAATGAGGTAGATTTGTGTCAGTTTTGATTACTTCTATATTCCCAGCATCTAATACTGTGCCTGGAGTATACTAAGTCTTCAAAGATTACTTGTTGGATGGCTGAATAGAGCCCCAACTTACAATGGTTCAATTTATCATTTTTTTACTTTATGATGGTATAAAACTATTACAATTTTGACATAATATGCAGTATTCAATAAAAATACACTTTATTATAAAATAGGCTGTATGTTAAATGATTTTGCCCAAAGGCTAATGTAAATGTTCTAAGCACATTTAAGGCTAGGCTAAGCTACAATGTTCACTAGGTTAGGTGTATTAAGTGCATTGTTGGCTTAAGATATTTTCAATTTATGATGGTTTATCGTGACATAACCCCAACATAAGTTGAGGAGCATCTGTAAATGCCTTCAGCCCTTTTAAGGGGACCCACCCTGCAGAAGTGACAGCCATTGGCATCCTGTGTCACAGGACCACCAGGTCACAGCTAACTCGACTGGCAATCCAGACAGGCAAACCACGTGCTAACCACAGACTTATAAAGCAGTTCAGAAGGGAAAGCTATGCCTAAGTAGGGAAAGCATGGCCAGTGAGACTGCTACCCTTGGGAAGGTGAGCTGGAAAATACAGTATAGTCATACTACAAGGGATGGTTCCAGAGAACCTCACGTAATTCAAAACTCAGATAATTCAAGAGACACCCTGACAAAGGATGGAGGGTATTTTTATGTAATGTCAAAGTCAAAGCAACTTGTAGAAATGGTATAGTTAGTAACTGACTCAGCTAGAAATGTTGAAATTGCGCTGTACTGCAACAGTAAAATGGCAAAAGACTAACATAACTAACACCATTTTAGATTGGGGTGGGCGGCTCTGGCCTCTGTTTATGCTTGTCCACAGACCAATTTTTTTTTCAAAAACAGAGTTTACTGTATCACCCAAGCTGCAGACTGTGGCATAATCACAGCTCACCATAGCCTTGAAGTACTGGGCTTAAGTGATCTTCCTACCTCAGTGTCCCAAATAGCTGAACTACGGGTGTACGCTGACACTCTCAGCTAATTCTTCTATTTTTGGTAGAGACGGTCTCACTCTGTTGCCGAGGATGGTCTTGAACTCCTGGTCTCAAGCAACCCTCCCACCTCAGCCTTCCAAAGCGCTAGGATCATAGGCTTGAGCCACCATGCCCCAGAATAATTTTGAAATGCTGAAAAGATAGCTTAGGAACAAGCATGCAGCTGTCAAGACCAACTACAAGAAAAAAAGGAGTATGCACACTGTTTCATTCAAGATTTCAAGGAAAAAGGAGAGCACTGCCCAAGGACAAAGAGAGCTCACAACTTCCCCCAGGCCCTTCCTGGAGCCCACATGTCTACGTTCACCTCTTGACTCCAGCCCGCTCCTCTTTCTTCCCCAACCTTAACCTAAAAGGAGCCTGAAATCTGTACTGACTTGATATAATTTTGGAGACACTTGTCCACCATCTCCTCAGGTTGTTGGCTCTTGAATAAACCTGCTTTTCTTTCACCAGCGCCATCTCTCGTGTTTGGCTTTCGAGTGGCGAGCAGCTGAATCTGTGTTTGGTTATAATACTAGGACTTCCGCTAGCCAAAAATGAATAATTTAAGCATCAAGAACAGTGACTACAAATGATGAATGTATTAAATTCCATAAGATCATAAAAGTACAGGCATACTTCAGAGATATTGTAGGTTCAGTTACAGACCACCAAAATAAAATGAATGTTGCAATAAAACGAGTCACACAAATTTTTTGGCTTCTTAGTGCATATATAAGTTATATGTACATTATACTGCAATCTACTAAGTGGGCAACAGTATCACTTCTTAGAAAAACACTGTACATATCTGAATTTTAAAATACTTCATTGCTAAAAAATGCTAAGAATCAACTGAGCCTTCAGCAAGTTGTAATGTTTTTGCTGGTGGAGGATCTTGCCTCAATGTTGATGGCTGCTGACTGATCAGGGTGGTGGTAGCTGATGGTTGGGGTAGCCTGGGCAATTCCTAAAAATAAGACAACAAGGTAGAGTTTGCCACATCAATTGACTCTTCCTTTACAAAAGATTTTGCCAAAGCCTGTGGTGCTGTTTGATAGCCTTTTGCCCACAGTAGGACTTCTTTTAAAACCGGGGTCAGTCTTCTCAAACCCTGCTGCCGCTTTATCAACTAAGTTTATGTAATACTCTAAATCCCCTGCTGTCATTTCAACAACGTTCACGGCATCTTCATGAAGAGTAAATTCCAAATCAAGAAATTACTTGCTTTGTCAATCGACAGAAGCAACTCCTATCCACTCAAGTCTGATTGTGAGACTGCAGCAATTCAGTCATGTCTTCAGGCTTGACTTCTAATTCTAGTTCTCATGCTGTTTCCACCACACCTGGATTTACTTCCTTCACTGAAGTCTTGAGCCCTTCAAAGTCATCATGAAGGCTGAAATCTCCCAAATTCCTGTTAAGATTAGAATTTTCACCTCTTCCCATGAATCATAAATGTGTTGTAGGACCGGGCTCAGTGGCTCAGCCTGTAATCCCAGCACTTTGGGAGCCGGTGGGTTTGAGACCAGCTGGGCAACTTGGTGAGACCTCGTCTCTACAGCAAATTAAAAAATTAGGCAGGTGTGGTAGTATGTGCCTGTAGTTCTGGCTTCTTGGAAGACTGAAACAGAAGGATTGCTGGAGCCCAGCAAGTCGACACTGGGGTGGCTGTGACTGTGCCACTGCATTCCAGCCTGGGCGATGAAGTGAGACTCCAACTCAAAATAATAATAATGTTTTGTTTGAGTCAGGGTCTCACTCTGTCATCCAGAATGGAGTGCAGTAGCATGACCACAGTCTCAATCCCCTAGGCCCAGGAAATTCTTCAGCCTCAGCCTCCTGAGTAGCTGAGGCTACAGGCATATACCATCACACCTGGCTAATTGGTTTAAAATTTTTTTGTAAAGATGAAGTTTTGCTATCTCACCCAGGTTGGTCTTAAACTACTGGGCTCAACCAACCCTCCTGCCTCAACTTCCCAAAGTGACAGGATTACAGGCGTGAGCCACTGTACCCAGCCCACAAATGTTCTTAATAGCATCTAGAATGGTGAACCCCTTCCAGAAGGTTTTCTTTTTTGTCAGGACATCAGCCCTCCCTTATTTTTTTTAAAGATGTGGGGTACAATTCCGGGTTAGGTACACCAATGTCCATTCAGGTACCCTGGTTGATGAGGTGTGCCCCTCCCTCCTCTGGCAGTTTCCCTCAACTGCCAATCCCACCCCTCCTCCCCTGGCAGTTTCCCACTACTGCCAATCCTTTTCTTCTAGTATTATTATAACTGTAATGAGTTATCATATCGCTTATGAGTGAGAACATATGGTACTTGGTTCTTTGTTTCTGTGATAGATTACTGAGTGTGATAGACTCTAAATCCTGCTGTAAAGTTCATGTTTGTCCTTCTATGTGGCTGCATAATATTCCATTGTGCATACATACCACATTTGTTTTATCCAGTCCAGCTTTGATGGGCAGCGTGGTTGGTTCCATGATTTTGCTGTTGTGAATAGAGCTGCAACAAACATGAGTGTGCAGGTATCTTTTTGGTAGAATGATTTGAGCTCCCCTGGGTATATTTCCAATAGGGGAATTGCTGGGTCATATGGAAAGTCAATTTCTAGTTCTTTCAGAAACTGCCACACTGTCTTCCAAAGAGGTTGTATTAGTCTGCCTTCCCACTAGCAGTGTAGAAGCATTCCTTTTTCTCTACATCCTCACCAGCATCTGTTGTTGCTTGTTTTCTTAATGATGGCCATTCTTACTGGGGTTAGGTGGTATCTCGGTGTGGTTTTGATGTGCATTTCTCTGATGATTAGAAAGCGGGTAGGCTGAACATGTTGGCTCAGGCCTATAATCTCAGGACTTCGGGAGGCCCAGGTGAGAGTACTGCCTGAGCCCGCAGGTTTGAGACCAGCCTGGGCAACATGATGAGACCTCGTCTCTACAATAAATCAAAAAATTATCCGGGCATGGTAGCGTGCACCTGTAGTTCCAGCTACTTGGAAGGCTGAGGCAGAAAGATCGCCTAAGTCCAGCAGATCAAGGCTGCAGGGCCAGGAGCATGCCACTGCACTCCAGCAACAGAGTGAGACTCCAACTCAAAAAAAAAAAAGTGGGCAAAAGACATGAATAGACACTTCTCAAAAGAAGATATGCGGACAGCCAACAGACACAGAAGGTTTTTGATTGACCTTGTCCAGATTCATTGGCAGAATCACTATTTATAGCAGCTATAGCTTTACAAAATGTGCTTCTTAAATAATAAGTTTAAATTATTCCTTGATCCAGGGAATGTGTTAGCAGGGACACACACACAAAAATTAATCTCCTTGTCCATCTCTATCAGAGGTCTCAGGTAACTGGGTGCATTACCAATGAGCAGTAATATTTAAAAAGGAATCTTTTTTCCTGTGCAGTAGGTCTCAACAGTGAGCTTAAAGTATTCAGAAAACTGTGATGTTGTCTAGGCTTTATTATTCCATTTTTAGAGTACAGGCAAAGTAGATTTGGCATACTTTTTTTTCTCCCCACCCCCAATTTTTTTCTTTTTTTTAGTCAGGGTTCTCACATTGTCACCCCAGACTGGAGTGTATTAGTACAATCACAGCTCACCACAGTTTTGACCTCCTGAGCTCAGTCAATCCTTCTGCCTCAGCCTCCCAAGTAGCTGGCACTACAGGTGTGTCACTATGCCTGGCTAATTTTTAAATGTTTTGCTGAAAGGAAGTCTTGCTATGTTGCCCAGGTTGGTCTCAGATTCCTGGGTTTAAGCAATCCTCCCACCTTGTCCTCCCAAGGTGCTGGGATCACAGGCATTAGCCACTGCACTTAGCCTGGAAGCATAATTCTTAAGGGCCCTAGGATTTTCAGAATGGTAAATGATCTTTGGCTTCCACTTAAAGTCACCAACTGCATTAGACCTAACAAAAGAGTCAGTATGTCTTTTGAAGCTTTAAAACCAGGCATTGACTTCTCTCTATGAAAGTCCTAGATGGCATCTTCTTCCAGTGTTTGTCTATACTGAAATTGTTTAGCGTGGCCATCTTCAGCAATATTATTAGCCAGAAGATCTGGATAACTTGGTGTAGCTTCTCCATCAGCACTTGCTGCCTCATTTAGCATGTTTATGTTATGGAGACGGCTTCTTTCCTTCAGCCTCATGAACCAACCAACCTCTGCTAGCTTCAAACTTTTCTTCTGCTGTTTCCTTACCTCTCTCTGTCTTCACAGAATTGAAGATAGTTAGGTCCTTGCTCTGGATTAGGCTTTGGCTTAAGGTAATGTGGTAGCTGGTTTGATCTTCTATCCAGACCACTCTAACTTCCTCCATATCAGTAGCAAGGCTGTTTTGCCATCTTATCATTCATGTGTTCACTGTAGTAGCATATTATATTTCCTTCAAGAAGCTTTCCTTTTCAATCACAACTTACCTGTTTGGTGCAAGAGGCCTAGCTTTCAGCCTGTCTCAGCTTTTGACATGCCTTCCTCACTAAGGTTGATAAGTTCTAGCTTTTAATTTCAAGTGAGAGATATATGACACTTCCTTTCACTTGAACACTTAGAGGCCATTGTAGGGTTGTTAATTTCAAAACTGTTGTGTCTCAATGGCTAGGGAGGCTCAAAAAGGGGGAAGCAGGGTGACAGCTGGTTGGTGGAACAGTCAGAACACACACAACAGTTATTAAGCTTGCCATCTTATACGGGTGCAGCTCATGGTATCCCAAAACAATTATAATAGTAACAGCAAAGCCAGTGAACACAGAACACCATAACAGACATAATAATAAAGTAAAAGTTTGAAATATTGTGAGAATTGCCAAGATGTGACACAGAGACACAAACTGAGCACGTGCTATTAGAAAACTGGTGCCTAAAGACCTGTTCAATGCAATTTGCAAAAATGTAGTATCTGTTAAGCACAATAAAATTACATATGTTTGTACTTGAAAAATGAAGAGGAAGAGGAGGAGGAAAAAAAAAAAAACAATCCTGTAAACACCAATATAGACAGCTAGGCACAAATCACTAAGTTAAACATTGATAAGAGAAAGAAGCAATTTGTCCTTCTTTACAGTATGAACTGTATTCAACGAATCAAACAGTCCTAACAGATGAGGGAAAGTTCTATACTGAAGAATTCCAGCTCATGAATGCAGATGGCATGAGAGGAATTGCTATTTTGAAAACATGAATGAAAGAGCTGATTTGGATAGCAGTGGTCTCTGAATAGAGAAACCATCATGTACAGCACTGACAGGAAATGCCACAAGGGAAGCATCAGGCTGTCTACCATCTGAATCCACTAGTCAATCTCAGCATCACCAAAAGTACTATCATCTCTCAATTCAATACAATATGAAGTTCATAGTACACCTATTCTTGAGAAATGAGAGTGGCCTGAAATCTATCCAAAGTTTTATATTCAATTATCAGCCCACAGAAAACACAGGGGCTAGAGAAAAAGTTGAACAACCACAAGGAAGCAATCAGGCTATCCAAAATGTAGAATATTTTTAAAGGACAACTGACTCTGGTTTCATTTCTTCAATAAATCAATGGTATGAAAAGCAATAATAGCCAGGCTCAGTGGCTCAGCCTGTAATCCCAGCACTTTGGGAGGCCGAAGCTAGTGGACTGCCTGAGCCCACGGGTACGAGACCCACCCGGGCAACTTGGCGAGACCTCGTCTCTACAATAAATCAAAAATTAGCCGGGCATGGTAGCTCTTGCCTGTAGTTCCGGTTACTTGGAAGGCTGAGGCGGAAGGCTCGCCAGAGCCCAGCAGGTCGAGACTGTGGTGGTCAGGAGTGTGCCACTGCACTCCAGTCTGGGTGATGGAGTGAGACTCCAACTCAAAAAAAAGAAAAGAAATGCAATAATAAATTATATTGCTAATGATGATCTTTTGGGGGGAGGAAGGAATTCAAATTATCTCTACTTTTTCTCATAAAGAGTTTCCAAATCTTCTCCCACCATGCTATTACAAAAACTCAAACTCTTCGGAAAAACGACCGATCTGCAGAGACACTCAGCCACCGGCATCGGGAGCTGAGGCCGAAAGAAGACAAGGAGGGACCACGACTCGCAGGAAGGACAACACAGACACGAGCTGTCCAAAGTCAGAAGCAACCAAAAGGGAGGCATCAGCCTAGAGTGAAAACCCTATGCCCTCTTTGCTGTGAGTCCACACCTGTGAGGAGTCTAGAATCATCCCTTGAATTCCCCCCCCCCCCACAGATGGATGGTCCTGATGGCCAGACTTAGATGACACTCTATCTCCTATTGCCCCACAGGAACCTTACACAACAGCCGTCCCTCCCATGACTAGCCTGAATCTTGTATAACCTAAAAAAACCTAACACCAGGCAATGAGTATAAGAAACCAAAATACCCTACAAGTTTTAATCATCTCTGTTGACAAATATTTCATATTTTGAGTGGTGCCTCTAGACACGGCGATTAAAGCATGTGTAGATACATACCTGCCCTTCTTCCAACATTAATGGTTTTATTTCTATATCTTGACACATGCTATTATAGAAGTCATTCATGGCACTATTTAGTTTTTGATAGTCGACTTCATGGTCTAAAAAGGGACTACATCCTTTTATAATAACCCAGAAGCAACCTGGATCTTCAATCTGTAAATTTTTTAAAAGACAAAACAATGCATAATTTAAAAGTAGAACCATAAAATAAACTTTAAAATCACGGTAACAGTTTCCAGTTTAAATGAGCTAACAATTTCTTGACAAGTACCTTTGTCTTAAACGGTTAGACCAAAGATAAAAGACCAAAGACCAAATTCTTTTTTTTTTTTGAGTTGGAGTCTCACTCTGTCACCCAGGCTGGAGTGCAGTGGCATGCTCAAGGCCACCGCAACCTCCACCTACTGGGCTCAGGCGATCCTTCCGTCTCAGTCTTACAAGTAGCTGAAACTACAGGCACATGCTACCACGCCCAACTTATTTTTTGGTTTATCGTAGAGACGAGGTCTCACCAAGTTGCCCAGGCTGGTCTTGAACCTCTGAGCTCAGGCAATAGTCTCACCTTGGCCTCCCAAAGTGCTGGGATTACAAGCTTGAGCCACCACACCTGGCCCAAAGACAAAATTCTAAAAAATATAACCGATAACCAGGCATGGTGGCTCACATCTCTAATTCCAGTACTTTGGGAGGTGGAGGATTGCCTGAGTCCAGGGCTCAAGACCAACCTGGGTAACTTGGTAAGACTCTGTCTCTCCAATAAATCAAAAAATTAGCCAGGTACGGCAGTGAGCATCTATAGTCCCAGCCACCTGTAAGGCTGAGGTGGAAGGATTGCCTGAGCCCAGCGGGTCAAGGCTGTGGTAGCCATAAATGTGTACATCAGTCTGGGCAACAGAGTGAGACTCTGACTGAAAAAATGATAATAATAAAATAAAAAAAAATAAACACACACAAAACCAATAATATATAAGTAATTTTCATTTAATGCGTTGTGACTCAAAAAACAGGTTACCTCGATCACCTATATTTTGGAAATAGCCATAATAATATATAAAAACAAGGTTCAGAATAATGCTTTTAGTATTCTGGGTTTTTGTTTTTTGTTTTTTAGAGTTGAGGCCTTGATCTGTTGCCCAGGCTAGAGTGCAGTGGTGCAATCATAGCTTACTGCAGTCTTGACCTCCTAGGCTCAAGGAATCCTCTCCTCTCAGCTTCCAAAGTAGCTGGGACTACAGGCACGCGCTACCACATCCAGCCTTTTTTTTTTTTGGTAGAAACGTAGTCTCACTATGTTGTCCAGTCTGGTCTCGAATGCCTGGCCTTCTCGTGATCCTCCTGCTTCAGTATCTCAAAATGCGGAGGCTATAGGCTCAGCCACCGCACCTGGCTGAAAGAAGAAGGAAATTCTGACACGTGATACAACACAGATGAACTTTGAGGACATTTCTCTAAGTGAAATAAGTCAGTCGCAAAAAAGGATAAATACTGTATGGTTCCACTTATGTGAGGTACTTACAGTAGTCAAATTTATAGACAGAAAGAAGGGACTGGAAGGAGAGGGAAACAGGAAGTTATTGTTTACTGCGTATAGAGTTTCAGTTTTGCAAGATTAAAAGAGTTGTGGAGATGGATGGTGGTAATGACTGCATAACATACTGAATATATTTAATATCACTGAACTGTATACTTAAAAATGGTTAAAATGGGAAACTTTTTATATGTAACTTACTACACTAAAAAAAAAAAAAAAATAGGCCGGGCTCGGTGGCTCAGCCTTTGGGAGGCCAAGGTGAGTGGATTGCCTGAGCCCGCGGGTTCGAGACCCACCTGGGCAACTTGGCGAGACCTCAACTCTACAATAAATAAAAAATTACCAGGCATGGTAGTGCACGCCTATAGTTCCAGCTACTTGGAAGGCTGAGGCGGAAGGATAGCCAGAGCCCAGCAGATCGAGACTGCAGTGGCCGGGAGCGGTCACTGCACTCCAGTCTGAGTGAGAGTGAGACTCCAACTCAAAAAATAAATAAATAAAATTAATAAATAAATAAATATACACTAGAAGCATTCACTGAATTTTACAAAGTTATAGAGTACAAGGTCATTTTAAAAAATTCAACTGTACTACTATTTCCAGCAATGGAAATTGGAAATTTAAAATTTAAAAAACAATACCATTTGCCATAGCACCAAAAATCAGAAATTACTAAGATATAAATCTAAAAAATACGTGCCAAATTGTTTTTTTTTCCTTCTTTTTTGTGTGAGTTGTTGTTTGCAAAATTTCTATGCTGGAAAGTACAAAACACTGATAGAAAGAAATCAAAGAAGACCTAAATAAGTGTAGATATACCGTGTTTATGGATTGTTAATATGTTGATATTCTCTGAACTGATCTATAAATTCCAACTCCATTCCAGCAGGGTTTTTGGTTTTTGGGGGTTTTGTTTGTTTGTTTGTAGAAATCAACAAGCTAATTACAAAATTCATATTGGAAAGGCAAAGAAACTGGAATAGACTAATTTTGAAAAAGAACATAAGAGGACTCACACTACCTGATTCCGAAACTTAACTCTAAAGTTACCATAATCTGGACAGTGTGGTACTGGAGAAAGCAAAGACACATATTTCAATACAACAGGAATAGACTCATGCATACACAGTCAACTGATATCTGATAAATGCACAAAGGCAATTCACTGAAGAAAGGCTGCTGTTTTCAACAAATAATGCAGGAACAATTAGATATGCATGTGCAAAAAAACGAACCTTCATGCATTCCTTGTACCATATAAAAAATTAGCCAGGCTCAGTGGCTCAGCCTGTAATCCCGCGCTTTGGGAGGCTGAAGTGAGTGGATTGCCTGAGCCCGAGGGTTCAAGACCCCCCTGGGCAACTTGGCGAGACCTCATCTCTACAATAAAAATTTTTAAAAATGAGCCAGGCGTGGTAGCACGCGCCTGTAGTTCCACTACTTGGAAGGCTGAGGCGGAAGGATCGCCGGAGCCCAGCAGGTCGAGGCTGGGGTGGCCAGGAGCGGCTACTGCACTCCAGTCTGAGCGATGGAGTGAGACTCCAACTCAAAAAAATAATAATAATAATAATAACTCAGATGGATCATATATGTAAACTATAACATTTCTTTTTCTTTTTTAAAGCAGGATTTATTGAGAGAACAGAAAAGCTCCCACAGTGGGAGGGGACCCGAGAGGGTTGCCCAAAACTATAACATTTCTAAAAGAATACATGGAGAAAATCTTTGACTGTGAGTTAGGCAAAGATTTCTCAGATATTCAAGGCTAAACAATATTTCATTGCATGTACACATACCACATTTTGTTTATCCAATCACCTATTGATGGATACTTGGAAGGAAAATATTTTATCTTTGTAAAAGTTAAAATATTTAACTGGAGGACTACAACTGGTAGCCACTTGGGGGAACTACTCCTATACGGGATAGAAAATTTGCTCAGGGGGTGAGCTGGTTGAGACCTCGAAGTGAGAGCAGATCAGAGCTGAGGGGGTAATAAAAGGGTTCCCGGGCCTAAGGAAGAGGAGAGGGTGTCCCAAGCAGGAGGCAACGAGTCCAGTTTCTCCTGCCAAAGTTCTGCCCCAGGGGATGTGCCCGTTTCAGGATCAGTGGCTCCGGAAGAACCCTTTTTTAAAGGGCAAACTGAATGAGCACAGGTAGGACTGATGGACATTTGGTGGAGAAGAGCATGCCAGTTGGATCTGAAATCCATAAAAGTCTCCGAGCAAGACTTCCATAAGCTGTTTCAGACGTTCGTGAATCTTTGTTCAGATAAGTTACAGAAGACATAAAGCAGGAGCAGAAAAGTTGACGGTTTTTAAAAATTCCACCATATGCTAAGTCTCTCTCTCCTCTGCCCAAGGAAGCACGAGTTCCAAAGTGCTTTATCTTTCCTTTCTCCAATAACACGCACCCTTTGCTCTGGTTGGTAAACTTCCTCCAATAACGCCTTCCTAGTCTCTGGCATCACCCGGAGATCTCACCTGACTCTGGGACCATAAAAAGCAGTGGTCCAAGCCGGGCTCGGTGGCTCAGCCTGTAATACCGCGCCTTGGGAAGCTGAGGTGAATGGATTGCCTGAGCCCACAGGTTCGAGACCTGCCTGGGCAGCAAAACATCATCTCTACAATAAATCAAAAAACCAGCTGGGCATGGTAGCACATGCCTGTAATTCCGGCTACTTGGAAGGCTGAGGCAGAAGGATCACCGGAGCCCAGCAGGTCGAGGCTGCAGTGGCTGGGAGCGGCCACTGCACTCCAGTCTGGGTGACAGAGTGAGACTCCAACTCAAAAAAAAAACAAAAAACAAAAAAAAGGCAGTGGTCCAGGCTGGCGAACCCCGAGGCGCCCGGGGCCTAAGGCATCGCCCCAAGCGGGCCGCGTGGGGTGGGGGATGGGAGACAGAGACCCCGGGAGCAAGAGAAGCGGGACCGCGGGAGAGTGCGTGGCGGGGAGAGGGGCGGTGTCCAGGTCACCCCGGCCCTGGCCGAGGAGCGGACCCCGAAGGCCCTCGTCTGGGGAGGTAGGCGTGCGGGAAGACGGGTTCCAGCCCCTCCCTCCCCCCGAGCTGGCCAACGTTAGGAAATCCCGCGCTCTCGCCGGACCCCCAGGTACCTCTGGATTTCCAGAAATACCCAAGAGCCCATGACTCTAAATGCTCCCCGGAGCGTGGCCGGACACACTCACGCCGAACTTCCCCGCGGCTCAAGCGAACTCAGGGCGCCCCGGCCCCAGGTCCAGGCCCGGCGGCCCTTCCCCTCA